GTTGGTCTTGACGGAGCCGACGTACAAAGGGTTGCTGCGGCCGGGGGAGAAGACTGCTCCGATGGCACGGGTCTCGATCGGGTCACCTGCGGCAGTGCCGGTACCGTGTGCCTCGAAGTATTGTGTGTGCAGCGGGTTGAGACCGGCCTGCTCGTAGGTAGAACGAATGAGGTCCTCCTGGGCAACACTGTTGGGCAAAGTGATACCGTTCTTTCGGCCGTCGTGGTTGCTTCCAGTAGCTCTCACGATGGCGCGAATGTTGTCGCCAGCAGTCTCAGCGGCGCTCTGGCGCTTGAGGATGGCCGCGCAGATTCCCTCACCACGGACGTAGCCGCTTCCTGAAGCATCAAAAGCGCGGCAGCGGCCATCTGTAGACAGCATGCCAAGGTCCGTCATTGTGATGTAGATGTTGGAGTCAAAGTGGAGAGCAGAGCCAACAACGATGGAGATGTCAGCCTCGCCATTCTTCAGCGATTGGTTGCTAGGGAAGGAAGCATGTTAGCTGTAGCACGAGAGAGAGCGACACGATCGCGAACGTACCCGAGATGGAAGCAGACAAGAGAAGACGAGCAGGCGGTATCAAGAGTGATGGAGGTTCCGTGCAAGTTGTAGAAGTACGAGATTCTGTTGGACAGAATGGCGTTACCGGTACCAGTGGCGTGGTACATGGGGTAGTTCGCCGTCAAGTCCTTGCCAGTCATGGAAAGATAGTCGTTGGTGAAGCTACCGCAGAAGACAGAAGTCTGAGAGCCGCTAATGTCCTGAAGAGTAATACCAGCGTTCTCCAAGGCCTCGTAGACGACCTCGAGCAACAGACGTTGCTGAGGGTCCATGGCATCGGCTTCCTTTCCAGAAATGCCGAAGAAGGAGTTGTCGAATTCAGCAATATCCTGCTCAAGGAAGTAGCCGAAGCGAGCATTCGTCTAGAATCAATGCGTTAGTCTACAGATGTTGCGTCTTGTCTGAAGTCATCAACTCACGGTTCCCTTGCGGGTGCCATCAGGGTGGTCTGCGAACAGTGTTAGTCTCTGTGAATTGGTTCAGAGAGGATCAAGACACTCACAGTAGTTGTCTACGTTGAAGCGGTCCTCGGGCATCTTGCGCTGGACATCTCGCTGAGCGGCAATGTGGTCCCAAAGCTTGCTGGGGTTGGAAGCGCCAGGGACTCGGCAAGCAAGGCCGACGATGACGGTGGGGTCATTCTCAGTGGCGTTGACTCGGGCAGACATTTTGATCGGTTGCGAAGCTGGAAAAGCTAGATTTAGATGAGCTTGGTGTGCTTGGCTGGATTCTTTGGTCTGCTGAGGAAGTGGTCGACAAAGATGATTGTCGATTGTGTTTCGTGATTGAAGGTAATTGGCCAGCTATCAGGAAGGGGAAAAGTTGATATCAAGTATCGAGAGTTGAGTTCAGGGACAAGGGAAGAAATGGAATCTTCCGCGAACAAGTAGGATGCTCTGAATCAAAAGGTAATGGTTGAGATGAGAGAACCCTGAAACTGGAACTCTGCGATACTTTGCTGGTTGAAGATCATGAAGTGAAGAGTCGAACTGAGTCTATGAGAGATGATGTGTTGAGAGTGATGAGGAAAAGAGATCGAGACGAACTGTAACCCAAGCTTATATGTTTGAAGAGAGGATGTTGATGCTCCCCTATCGACCATGGAGCTCCTCTGGATATTGGTGCCTGCCATTGGAGGTATGCAAGGCCGTCTCTGCGCAATGGAGCACTTTCGGCTCCTCAGTCAGAGTATCGCGTTGAAGATTTCCGAAGTTGTCCGGAGACAGGTTCCGGTCAGTTGTGAGCCTCCGAGTGACTCCGGAGGCTACTATTTCGGTGCTCATGATGCAAGTGGAGGCATCGATAGCCGCGGCGCAGTCTGGTGCATGTTGACGGAGGCATTGCTGGCCGAACCCATGGCAAAAGGGTAGGCAACAAACACAAGGGTAAGACGGAATGCAGAAGCGCGGATGCCAATGTGTAGCGGCAAGACGGAGATGATAGGGCTGACGAATAGACGAGCGTGTATCGCGGAGAGCGCCTCACAGCCGCGCCTTGAATGATACAGGACAGCTTCTGCAACGAGTGATTGAAGAAAGACGATGTCCCAAACGGGGGATGGCTTTGAATGAGGTTCGGAGATGTGGAGAGTTGGGACGGGGCAGCGTCTGTGTGGATGTCATGCCGCCCATCCTTCCCTTGTCAGATGGTGGCTTTTCAGGGGTTCATCCTACGGTACATACGAGGTACAAGGGCGAAGTCGCTGAAAGTATCTGCACGATTTGCACAAGTGGAACGGGAAGTTATGCCAAAGGACCTTTGGATTCGCCAATTGAGGAGATTGATTGACGTATGTATAGGATCGGCGAGGGTCGGTCGAACGAACAGCTCAGGTGCTCAAGCAATGCTGACTGAGGCGGAGACAATCCATGGCGCGTAGAATTAAGAAACTTGGCTTTCCGTTGTGTCTTGCTCTAGCAGATCTCTTCTTTACACTACAGACGCTGCGGTTTTCAAAGTTGCATTGAGCTTTCGTCCCATCTCGTCTTTGTCTCGTCTGGGTTCGTGGAACTGGTCTGCCATCTGATTCGCAATCGGGTGGTAACGAATCCCAAGCTCACGGATTTGACCGCCCCGAGTTGAGACATTTGAGTGTTGATTGCCTACTGATTCAGCTGTCTCGTCTTGGCCGAGGACATGCAGCGGGTGATGATAGCTGCGAGTCTGACATGATGACTGAGCTGCGAATAGGTACTGCGTGCATTCTGCGTGCGTAGCCGTACAATACGAGAAGCTGAACGTGAGAGGATGATTTGAGAAGCAGAGCTGCTGGTTGCTTCACTGGCGAGTCTTCGGCTTAGTCACGGACTCTTGGGGCGCTGTGTTGTGGCTTGCCGCAGTCAGGACGGGATCTGGGATGACCGGGGCTATAAGTGGACCCGGAGTAAGCGGGGAAGGCCTTTGTGTTCCATTGGCTCGATAAGCGACCCTTGCACGCTCCGAGGTTCCGCCCCAACTAAGTCGACACCCAGGTGTACTTCTTCGTTCCTCACCCCTCAGGCAGAATCCTTCCCGAACACAGTAAATGATACAGTGTCCCGCACCCAGCACCTCGAGGGGGTTTCTGGGGCGGAGAGGCGGGCAGCGAACACAGCCGGGCCTGTTGGTGCATCTTCGCAGCATCAACGTCTCATCGCGCCCTGCACCGTCCCGCTGCTCCCAGCAGGCAACAGAATAACCTCAAGTTCCAACTCACAATGAAAGTCCCGACTCCTGCTGGCACGCATTTTCTCCACTATGCTATTCTCTTGGGTATTCACTGTTTACAGGTTTTGCTTCGTTTTGCCTTCTTCGGGACCGAATCCACATGGCATCCTAACATGATCAACATCCTCATCCTCTTTTCGTCTGTCCACACCTCCGACCATCATCTCTATTCGGTCTTTGAACACCCAAACTCCGTGATCTGTCCCCTGTCAATCAATGTTAACTACTAATTTCTGCTTAGAATCCCACAACTTGGTCATCAGTTGATACCGACAAGACCTGAAACACAACATGACAATGTGGGAAATTGCACCGCTTCCGCTGCTGAACGCAGTCCCCTGTGAGGGAATTCCACCTGCAGGCCAAGCCGAGGCGACATAGCAGCATGTCATCTCAGCCCTGTGCTGTGTATCGAATTACCGCATACACTGCGTCTATGGCTTTTGTGTCTCTCGCACTCGTCCCGCATGGCACTGCATTGGCCGCCGTTGCTACCTTGCTACCTACGTCGTGTACCCGTTCTCCAGACCCATAAGGCGGCCAGCGTCGAGTGTCTCTCTCAAGCCACCACGCCGCCGAGGTCATGGTCGCAGAAGAAGCCTTCCGCGCTTACATCGGAGTGCAGATACCTCGATTCAGGGCGTACAACCTGAGACAGGGCAGGTATCTCCCCTGCTCTGTGTGATGCTTCCTTCGCCTTCGACGATCTTTCCATTTCGAGGTCAGACCAGACTAGTCCTGCCACACCCCTCGACAGCTACGGAGACCCTAGCGCTTCCTGACTGGCATGGCACCACCTCACGGTTATAGCTTTGGTGAGGAATGGTGCTTCTCGTTTTGGATCACCGCTCAGATTCTATCCGGGGTTCCGCCTGCTCAGTCATCCTTCCGTAACTTCAAATCTCCTCTTTGTTGGTGATGCTTTCCAAGGTAAGTACTTTGCAATCACGCTCTGCTAGAGCAGTAGGTCGAGTATCTTACTGGGGTCCTTCCTTTCAACGGACCGATATCGATGGCTTCATCCTTCCGTCCGCTGGAAGACTCAATCAGCAGCTTGGGAGCGAACCTAATGTGCGCCTCTTGGAGATTTTCCCGCTGTGCCTCTTCCTTCGTATCAACAACACATCACCGTCCACCAGCAGTCAATCGCCATCTTCCCATCCGTTTCGGGTATGCTTAACCCACAATTCGCTTTGCCATGGCTCGCCATCCGTCTCTAACCTTTGGTGCCAGCTCCATAAGTCTTCTCGTGGGCTATTTTCTTTACACTCGCGGTCCTCGCGTAGCTACCGTGCCTCGAACTCATCACCGCCGCACCTATTTGCGTCCACCACCAACCAGGGTCTATATAGCTTCGCCACTGTTTACCGGGCCCTTACAACATCGAATCAAATCCTCAGATCGGGGCTTTTCTGCGGCAGGATCTCTGCTGCAGTGTTTCACGTCCGCGAAAATGGCAAGCCATCATTCCAATGTCCTTGGCCGACCGGTCAACGATCAAGTCCAATACAGCTTCATCCCACACCACCCTATCAAATTCGGCCCCGGCCTGCACCTGAGCGTCCAGTCGTCCTTTCCATTCTATATCCACCGGAAGATGCATCACGTCGCTTTCTTTGGAGCAACGGGGTACACCGTGTTCAGATGTCTGATGCATGCTCTTCGGGATACGTCAATATTCTGTCATGTGTGTAAGTGACGGATATACCTCTCAAGTCTACACGCGACATAGCATGCCCAAATTCCGTGTTTTCTTAAGGCTCTCATGCCCTACACTCCCCTCTTGTGGATGCTTAGAGTTGACTGCTTCAGATGTCAGGTGCAAGGCAAGTCTCCTAGAGATGTTTGACGACGCGGATGACTTTCAAACGGAATACCTTGGCCGCATGACAGTTGTCACAGCAGACTTGACCCCAGAAACTGCAGCTGAAGCCCTGTTCCCGGAGGATCTTCAAGGAGAGCCCGTACACACAGTTGTCTACGGCATTGGGGGCTTCAGGACTTAGGAGATCTCAGCAGGGGAGGGCGACAAGTGCGACGTCTACATCAGCGAAGCAGGCATTTGTCATATATTCGACGCCTTGCGCATGCGCTTCGCCGCATCTCCGCCGAAACGCAAACCGCGCCTCATTAGCGTCGGTTCTCTTTCCATTGACGAGCAGATCGATGATACTCCCGACCAGCTGGCAACGGAAGTAAGACCTCTTTACTTATGGTTCATGGGGATGGTCAGTGAGGAAGTTCACGACAACGAGATATTTCTCCGGGAGCTGCCTTACGGCAGTGAAGGTAGTGATACCAGCAGCTATGATTCGTCCAGCGAGTGCGACCCAAGCAGCAGTCTGCACAGCAGTATGAGCAGCTTTTTATCTCGAGACTGGGACCAGCCCAAGGTAAACTTTCCACCCAGGACGCCATATGACGACAAGATTGAAATGGAGTATGCAATCAGCGATAAATGCAACAAGGAACTCTACAGTTCCAGTCTGATTGTGAGGCCGACCTTACTTACATACACCAAGCCATGTGGAGTTGAGGCAGTACGAGTTGGCCGGGAGGGAAACCCGCAGTCAGGCTGGACAATCAGCAGATTTGACGCCGGCCATTGGCTGTACCAATATGGTATTTGCGGCAGTTTGGAAGGCATTGCTACAATTACAACGTAGACTTGAATTGGCATTCAAAGCAAAGTCAGGTCGAGGTTGAACGATGGCGAGATTGATGGTTTTCATCAGCGGTCATCGAGAATAGCGACACCTGGGCTATTAGAGATTACAGCGTCAAGTAAACTGAATTATAAGCATCGATTGCTTTAATAACACATAGTTCTCATCCACTTGAGGGGTATGCTGTAGGGAGGATTCAGTTGAAGGGGCAGCAGACCCTAGCTCGTTGTCCATCATGGGCCACCCCAGCGACCAATCTGCAGCTCGGCACTAGCCGCATCTCCCCAGCCACACCAAATCGGCTCAGCTCTACGGACTTGCTATCCGTACTGTTAATCAGGGCTCGCTTACAAGCCACTGTCAATGGCTGAAAATAGCTGGACTGTTGTTTCTTTGCAAAGATCTACGGGGGTAATCCCTACTGGAGAAGGAGGGCCTTGGCTCCTTCGTTTTTTGACTAGTCTTGGTTCACATCTGCAAATCAAGTGCCAAGAAGACAAGTCTTGTTGTTGTGATCCTCTACTGGGAGGATTTGCCAGCTGGCCAGCGGCCTGGAGGGAAAAACCAACACGCCTCAGGGTCACATTCGGGGGGCCCTTCAAGGCGATGTGTCTCCATTTCTGGACGCTTGCGACGGAGGATCGAAGCTTCCTTACTCTATGGGCGGCTCGTCTCCATCTTTGAATGATTTCTCGCGTCAACAGAGGCTTCTGGCGTTGATGTGACTTGCAGTGGGGGTATAGCGACAATCCGGTTGATCGGGTCAGCACTCAAGTCTGTGTTGCAGTATAGATGCCTTGGCAAGACGAGAATAACTGTGGACAAGAGTAGCAGCAGCAGCAGTAGCATTAGCGAACTTCATGCGATCCAGAACGCTGGGAGCAGAGGCTCGGGGGGCAAGCCTAAGCCTTGTTCTTGGGTTCGACGGGGCCATGTAACGCTGTTTAGCACCCCCAGACTGCACTGTAACCAATTCGCATGTTGGGGTCTTGTTTGAAACAGGCAATGCTCGGTGCTGTGAGCGTCTTGCCCTCATAGTCGGCCATCATTCAGTACCAAGGGCCAGGTGGAGATGGTCAAAGGCAGCGAGAAACGTCGGGGGTTCTCCGTGATGGCGAAATGGGGCCACTTTGGATTTCGGCCTGATAAGACTAAGTAGGAAAGATCTACGCTGTCAAGGAGTTGCAAAGACCCTGCCTGAGTCTCAATGCGGCCCCAATAGGCGAAGACAGTGGAGATGGAGGAATTGTCTTTGGAGGACCACCATCTGACCGGTATGACTGTCGAAAGGCCCCGAACTATAGGTGTGAAACTGTAGTTGTCATCAATCTCAGAACGGAGGTATCCTTCGAGATATTGCATTGGAAATATCACCGAGTACGAAAGTCCTAATAAGACTATGCGAGGGGCTCTTGTTGATTCGTCCCCGAGATCATGCGCAGGTTTACTCTACTTCGAAATGCTTTCCGCATTGGACCGAAGATGGTTGGGATAGTCTCCGGCCGCGTCGAATCCAAAGGGAGGAAGGAGCGGGGACCTGAGAGCAGCGGTATGAGGTGATGCGGAGGTGCTCTCGTAAGCCGTGGATGGGCGGCGCGGGATGAGTGAGCGCGCGCTTTCTCGATTTGGACAATAGGTGGCATGAAGACTCAGCTCCTTTGCGAATATGTTTGTGTGAGAGGTCTGGAGTATCGGGTAAGAAGTCGACCCGGGATGAGGTGAGAACCTTGGTGCCTCGAGCACTACACGACTGCACTGTGGTGAGATTCCGGAATGTAGTGTGAGGGGGAGAGCCGGACCACCGAGTAGCCGGAGACACTAGGCGACAGGTGCGTTGTTGAGCTGGCACGGCTGGCGTACCGTGAAGGATGGGGGCAGTGGTACTGTTGGGTTGCGGTTGCGACGGTCGAGTTGCTGTGACCCTCGTAAAGGATATAGATCTACGCTGGTGAGAAGTTTGTTTGTTGAAGGCTGTCAGGTTGTTGGAATCCGACTGGACTATTTCGGCGTGTCTGGGAGGATTGGGTGGCCTAGGTACACCTACCCACCTCAGGTAAGGGAGGTAGGAGAGGTAAGCTGTGGACGTTGAAAGTAGGGTTCTCGTAACCCGTTTCGCGGCAAAAATAAGCAGCCTGAGTGGCCGGCGTTCGTTGCGGATGGACTTTGGTTCATCCCAAGCCAGGCCTTGCCTCAGGCGGTACTCTTCTTTCATCCGATCTCAAGTGGCTGTCCCGCGTTGTGGCGGCGCTGCTGTGGAACGTACAACGGCTTGGAAGATTGGTGTTGGCCCCGCGGCATCAGGCGTCGAATGCTCGGGATGCCACGACATTGAGACAGACGATTGTCGTTCGGCCCAGGTCGTGTGCAATAGTGCGTGCTTCGATTCTGTTTCGTACGGCGCTGCTGTGGCCCGATGACCCAGCCGATGCACAAAGTCCAGAAGGGGGGCCGTTTCAGCGCTTTGGGGGTTGCAGAAGCCAACGTACATGGCGACCCTGACAAAGGTAGGTCGCCTAAGACGGGCTTTTCGATCAGGCCGTCTTTGATGTGGGCTTGGTCACCCCGCAGGTGAAGGGCCAAGACTCAGGTGGTCTGCTGTGCGGCAAAGGTCCGGGGTGAGGTGATGGAAACGGCAAATGCAAAGAGCTTCGGTGGATGGGAGTGTGAGCAGCTGGGGAATGTGACGACGAGGTGGGAGAGATGAGGAGTCATGGCGAAGGAAATGGTGGACTGACTGGACGGGCTTGCCTTGTGTGTCAAACAATTGGGGGCAGGAAACGTGGGACGCAGATGATGGCAGAGGCAGGAAACACTGTGAGGGCGCTGCTGCCCAGCGGGTGGAGCAGACAGGACCCCCGGACCCTTCCATGTCAGCGACGGAAAAACGGGACCCGCCGACGAGGGGATCTCCCGAAATAGATCCATGTGCACGGCCCATTGGGGTTAGTCATCAGGGATCAGGGGGCGAGGGCCCTGCTCGACGTCATTGACGGAGATGAGAGTCTGGGGAGCATCACCAAGGTATGCCGGTATGGTGCCTTAAGTGCGCTAAAGAGTTTTAGTGATGCTGAAACGAATTCCTTTCTCCGTTTGAAGATATCTCCTCTCCAATGCTTTCTTTCACAAGAATCGCTAGCTACTGACTCCCCTCCGCCGAGGTGGTGCGGCCGTATCTAGACGGGAGACGGGGGCGAAGGTTTTGTTAGTGTCGGAGGGCACGTTGGTCCATTGTAGGTGTTGGTTTACTCTACTTGAAAAGTTGCACATTGGCTGGATTTCTTCCCGTTCCTCAAAACCTTTCTGCTAAGCACCTGGGTTTTCAATAACAGAACCGAGTCCGAGGAATCCGATGTGCCCCCAAAAGCCCCCCCTAGTCATGCCCGATGATGCTCTGAGTCGAGTTGCATGTACATAGCAGCAGCTCCTTTGGTTGGATGCAGCGGTGATCATGAACACCCAGCATCCAGGGCTGAGGCTGAAGACCTTGGGGGACTATCACATCATGCGGCTCCAAGATGGGCTCTTGCCTTTCTCCATCTACGTCGGCCGCCGTGACATCGTCAGTTTCTTGAAAGCTTTGGTCCACAGAAGTTGAGTGCATGCGCATGCGGCAACCTTGAAAGCCCCCTCCCGTCCCCTTCTGCTTTCCTCCCTTGCTTGCAGAACCAGGGCACAGAGGGGTGCCCAGAAGTCAAGGTTGGCCCTCTTGGCGACTAGGGTATGTTCAGGCAGAAACTTTCTTTCGAGCGTGAGTCCGAATCGTCCACTCGGCGTGAGAGATAATGCAGGGGTGTTTATCGGACGTGGAGGTAACTGAATAATTGAAGCGAAGTTGTTCACTCCGTTGCAATCAATCCATGCTGAAACAAAACGAGACAAGATTGCCGCAATTCGTGGAATCTGCGGCCTCGCTATGTCTGCTTTTGGGTGATGCTGATGAGAAGGAAAGTTCTCTTTGCGTTGTTGCAATTGAGTGTGGCTGAACAGGGGCGGAGGGGAAGGGGGTGGCCTGATGCGAGAGACCCACTTCGGACCCGCGATCGGGGCCCGCTTTCTGACCGGCATCGGCACCCGGCGCGGCTGCCTTGGCCACTTCCCGTTGAGGAAGTTGCGGATCCCGTAGTAGGTAGGTACTGCTGCACCTCGCCTCTGCGGATTTTGGCCATCAGGCAAATGTTTCTCGAAACTAAAAGCTCGGCTGTCATTCAGGACAAGATCTTCAATTGCAGTCGATGGCGAAGTAAGGTGCTGCCTGGTCGAGAAACAAATTGGCACAGGAAGCGAGCCGTTCGCGGAGTGAGCCCCAGTAGTTTCCTCATTGCGCGACTATCCTGGTGCTCATTGGCTTTCGCGCGGTTAGGCGACAAATCACATCATCGGGAGGAAGCACGCCACAGACGTTCTACTTCCAGGTTTATATCCTTCTCCGTCTCGCTTGTGAAGGAAGGATTCAGAAAACGGCATGGTATTTACGGTGAATTCTTGGTCACCCGTCATTCATTTCCTAGGTAGTTCCTCTTAACACTCTCCAACGTTTCTAACGGGAGCCACCATCCCTCGCGAATCGTACCTAATTAGCCAATTCTGGATGGCTGCCCCTCCCGCGCATTTACCACTAGGGGAAAAGCGCGCGATCCTCTCACAACCGTCGTGCTCCTCCCTCTTCCTCTCTGCGCTTGTGAGCGGGAGGAATGGGATACAGCCACACGGCAATTAGAAATAGAGGCGGGAAAACAGCGCGCCAAAGATAACGCTTATCATCCTGTTGTGGTTCAGGAGCCGAGACTAGGAAGGCCGATTCCGGCACCTGGCGGTGCGTTGGTGAAATATCGGCGGCTCTCATACTAAGGTAGATTGGGTCATCCACATCATCTTGGGCATGTCGAAAATCCCCCAATTTAGTTGCAACGAACTCCTCCGTCTATCTGTGGCGAAGTCTGCGAGACTTCCAGTGCTAGCTAAGAAAACACATAGGTATCTCATAAAGCGCGCAGGGATTGGAGAAGGATTGATAGGCAAAATGCCAAGCAATAGTTTGACTTTGTCACTGCAGTAAAATCAGAGCCTTGGCCAGCGAGAATTCCATCTCGAGCACGTGGGTGCTAGGAGGAAAGACCCAGTTGTCCAGAAGCTTGTCACTAGAGATCAGCAGAAGCAATGGCCAGCCGCCGCCCTTTGTCGGGACTAGACGTATCTTTCATTTCCCACTTTCAAGAAAGCTTTTGTCCGGATCTCTGGATGTAAGCTCCGAAAGAACCTTACCTGCCTGCCTATCTCTTGCTGTACAGCATTGCCGCTATCATCAGCCGCCCGCGCGCCTGCGTCAATCGTATTCCTATCCCGGTTAACAGAGATCGTTTAAGCACATACCGGATTGCCTCTAAACATGAACTGCACCGCCTGCCCTCGGGGAGAACAGCACAGCTCACCGGTTACCGTATCCGTTCCAAAGCTGGCTCTTTCTGCAAGTTCGCTCCCATAGGATTCCCGAGGCGTAGGTCAGTACCGCCCTTCTTACCTGCCTACCTACATATCCGGTTGCTGACCAGCCCGGCTCGGGTGACGGCGGTGGCGCTCCTTCACTTACATGACTTGGGAATCTCACGGTCAGGACGACCTTCATGATTCATGTGCCCTTCACGTTTAGATAAGCAGTGCTTGGTATCTTGCTTATTGGGTGGCTGATACGATGGATACGATTGACGAGACTACCGCCGTGGCGCACCCTTCTCGATTAGACGCGCCTTCCATCGCTTGCCGTAGGGCTATCAAACGTTAAACTATCGATATTGGTTCTTCCAATTAGGTGTGCATTAGGTCTATTAAGTACGGAATATTATAAAACTCAATATTCGAAAGTTCCGCATATTTCTATCTTGGGGGTCGTGTTTTGAAGCACACTGTTTTTGGGTGTTAGTTTGGCCCCATTTCCATCTAGCATCTACTCTATTCCATCAGTCACACAATGGTATTTAATTTCTTCTGGTATGACAAACGGCTTATAGCTTGAGCGTGTATGTTCCATGGCTACAATTCCACAGGCTCGCAGAAGATGTGTCTCCCATAACACACAAAGGGAGAAATGACAAGGAACCAAGCCAAGTACCACACAGAACCCACAAAGGGAAGCGAGTCTTCCCCCACGCCCCGAATCCTTCTCTTCTCTCCCCCCACCCCCCCTTCCAAATCCTTCGAATCCTTCCCGTCCAACCATCTCAGTTCTTCTCCTCCGAGAGATCTGACACCGTGTAAGATACGTACTTACTCTACGGAATATGTGCACACCTTACTCAAGATGATCCACTTCCCTCCCGTACGATCCCTACCGCATCCCGGCCCCCCCCCGGTATCCACAAAACGGATTCGGACCCTTGCTCGCCGACGTTGCACTAGGAATGACTGCATGTCTGTTGCGTTGGGCTGAGTGGCCCGCGGTGCACAGTAAGGTAAAATTTGGGATTTGGATTTTTTGCTGCTGCTGTCTTGAACTATGTCTCCAGCTGCCAAGCCCTACAATCCGTCCAATTCCAACACACAATTCTGTCTCTGGTTCTCGCCCTTCCTAGCGCCTTTTTGCCTTGGCGCTCCCAGCAGATGGCGAGCCAATGCAACCCTCATTCTTCGCTCCCTTTCCAATTTTCGTACCATGTTTCTTCCTAGCTGTCCCCCATTCGTTCTGCTTGCTCAGAAAGTAGCACATTGTGTGAGTGAAAGAAAAGAAAGAAAAATAGGATGTGAAAGAAATGTAAGCCCGGAACCTCTTGAACGCCGAATTGTTGTCAATATGCCCAACCCCGCCGAAACCATCTAAGCCATGGAATGTGAAACAAAAGGCGATCAAGAAAAGAAAGGAAGAATGCCTTGCCGGCGAATGAAGGCTGCCTGTCTGCCCGTCTAGTTGGGAGCTATGCAGTGAATAAGGGAGAAGCTGTTGAAGACACGGTCCCGTTCCAAGGGACCCCCAAATGAAATCGATCCTGTACAAGGGAGTAAGGGGGTGTGTTGTCTGGCTCGCTCCCCTTCGAGCCCAATGCAAGAAATACCAAGAAAATGGCAAGGGGAGTAAAGAAAAGAAAACCATTCTTCATCAAGTCATGAAAAACGACGAAACAAGAAAGATGGAAAGGCATACGGATACTTCCAACGCATCACATCCTCCCCATCATTTCTTGAAATAGTTGTAAAACATGGCGTCCATGTCGCTCCCCACCGCGGCCGCTGCCGCAGTCATCCCCGCATCGTGACCGCCGCCACCACCACCCATGTCGTTCACAGACGGCCACTCCCAGTTGGCCGCCGCCCCCATGTCAAAGTCGACGAGCATCTGCCCGCCGCTGTGGTCAGGGAACCAACCCGCCGCGCCAGCCTGGCAGTCCACCAGGTCCGCGAGCGTGAGGTGGTGATCCCCCGTCGGGGCCCCCAGCGCCGCGGGGTCCATGACGTGAGCGAACAGCTCGTCTGCGGCGCGCCAGTCATGCTGTTGCTGTTGCTGTTGGTGCTTGTTGTGACTGTGACTGTCTCCGGGGCTGAAAGGGTTGAACGGGGTCGCGAGCTCGCTCGTCGAGGTCATGGAGTCGTCCGCGGACGAAGACGACGAGACGGACGGCATCATGGACGTGTCCATGGGGCTGATGAAGGACGAGGCCGAGTCCACGGCCGTCGGGGCCCCCGAGAACGGGTGGTCGTGGTGATGCTGGGGCGGGGTATGCGGGAGGGAGGAGTTGCGGCGCGACATGGAGTGCGTCGTGGTGGACGAGGAAGATGCGTACGAGTCGGAGCGCGCGTGGTGGCTGATGCTGATCGGGATGCTCATGCCGCTCCCCGTGCTGTTCCTGTTGCTCTTGCTGCTGCTTCTGCTGACGTTGCCGCCGAACGCGCGCATGACGGCCTTGAGGTGCTTCTTGATGGCGCGGACCTGACCGCCGGGGGAGAGGAAGTCGGAGGCCGCGATACCTAGGAGGCGGGATGCCAGGGCTTCGAGGCGGCCTTCGTAGACGGCAATCATTTGCGGCTCCATGTTGAGGACGCCGGCTTGCTTTTGCGCGTAGATGAAGGAGAGGCCACGGGCGCAGGTGTCTAGTGCCAGGCAGAAGACGTCGGGGAAAGAGTTTTTGCTTTGTGCGGGCATGATGACGGGGCCTTCTTGCGATGTCTGCTCCGCGATCTGAAGCATGATTCCCACGAGCTCCTGCGCTGAGCCGATGAAGCGCTCGACGGTCTCGGCCGTGAGGGAAAAGGGCTCTGCTGGAGGCGGGGCGCCGGGGAGGATGGCCGGGAAGAGGAGGTGGATGGCCATGGTGTGGTACACTGACAGCACGAGGGAGCGGGAGGGCGCGTGGGCAACCTGGCGGTTGAGGAGGTGGATGCTCTCCATCAGGACACGGTAGACCTCGCGGCAGACGCACTCCATGTCCTGGGGCGTGCTGCCCTGCTGGATGCGCTGGAGTGCGAGCAGAGGCGCCTCCTGCCAGAAGTTGGTGCTAACCGTCTCGTTGGGGTCGGGCTCCTGCGGGTAGAGGGCGAAGATGTAGGCCGTGATGGAGGCGATGTGGGCGAGAGGCCACATCTCCTTGATCATGCTCTTCTGCTTCTGCAGCGTGGAGAAGTTGTCTGAGACCTCGTCCAGGCGCATCAGCACGGACGAGGTCTCGTCGACGGGAAGGAAGATGGAGGTGAGGCTCGTTGGGAGGAGCTGCGAGAAGTGGGTGCCCATTTGCAAAAAGGTCCAGAGGGTGAGGGTGTAGGTCGTCCAGTAGAGGTAGGCGACGATCTCCTTTTCGACCTCGCAGACGTCGATGCCGTTGATGCGGCTCGTCGTCAGGGGCGCCGAGGAAGCCGAGATGGTGTCCTTGATCTCGGTCGCCAGGCGGCCGGAGAGACCGATGTAGCACGTGGCGCGCTTGATCTGCCCTTGGCAGAGGCTGTTCCAGCCCAGGAGCATGAGGACCTGTGCCGTGCTGATGCCGGGGAGAGAGATGCCGGCGCCGGGCATGCCCGGTTGGCTGACCCGGGTCGAGATGGGACGGTTCTGGAGTTGAGCTGAGGCCCACCGGAGGAGGACGTGTCCTCGTGCCATGGCAACTTCGTCGCCGAGAGAGAAGGAGGCGTCGGCGAGGATCACTGCCAGAAGGACCTCGTCGTGTGTGCCGTCTCTCAGTTCGCGAAGAAGAAGGGTCTTGGAAACGAGGAAGGAGAGAGGGTGGACGCTGTACCACACGTCGACCAGCTGTCCAATCTGTCGAGTGCCGTAGTCGGTCAAGGGGCTCGGTCCTGTCGGTGTTGTATCGAACATTGATGGTGTGGCGTCGCTCGCGAGTCCTGTGAGATAGAATCTACCGCCGCCCTGTTCCATGAAGATGGATCCCAACCCGCCAAACTTATCAACTACGAGACCGACTAAGTCGTGCGTGAGAAGCTGCAAGATGCCGGTGTACTTGAGTCAAGTTAGCTTCGTGCAATCCAGAAGGGAGTCTTGGACCCATACCTTGACATCCCGATGACTAAACTTCGAGTTGACAACATTCTCGCTACGATCCTGTAAAGTTAAGCGCAGAGTCTGGTTGTACGCCGATATCCTCTCCTGCCACGGATTCGACTTGGGCCCAGGCGTCGGGTTCTCGCCAAAGTTTTCGATAAACATGCTGTTGAGCATGGTAGCCACGTCTTCGCCGCCGCCCATGAGGGCCACGGGCGCCGCACCACCGGTACCCTCCATCTGTGCAGGCTCCTCCATAATGGTCGTGGAATGCGGCGAACCACCCGTTGAGGCTCGCTGGCGCTGTTGTACAGGGACGCCGGTGCTGTCGCCGCCGGTGCTGTTGTTTCTACTCATGTCTTGGGATACGGTGCGGGTCTTTGGCGGCCGCGAGTCCCAATCGTAGACGCAGTCGACATTTTGCTTGCGGCAGGCTTCGCAGATGGTCTCGTTGCTGCACTTGATCTTGCGTGCGCGGCAGAAGCTGCAGCTCTTGCGGAGCGGGTGTCGGGATGTGAGAGACATGATGGGGTATAGTTGTCTAGGTTTTGGGAGTTGATAAAGAAAGAGGGAAACGATATTATACAATACACATTGGTTCTATTTGTACAATAGTATATCGATACCAATGCAGGAGGAAAGCGAGAGATAGACGGTGGGTTATTGGGTTGAGCCGCCGCCGACTACGATTGGTGGTAGTCTGGATAGATGAGGGAGGCTTGAAAGGCTTGAAGCAAAAAAGAGGGAGTCTTGAAAAGCTGCGTCACTCGTCTTCTTCAACCCTTTCGTCTGCAGTGGCAAAGTCTGATACCAACATGGTCCATTGTCGTGGTTGGTGGTTTCTTTGAGATGTTATAACTTCAGTCTGCAGAGTAAGCCAGTGTTGGAATAAGATGAGACGAGGCAAGGTACCGTTGAAGGATGCAAACTGGGGTTAGAATGCACAGTGTCGGGGAGGCTTCGAGGGGGGTGAACAGTCAACGGAGGAGGTGTTGATGTAAGAAGGGGGGTGTTTCGTGGTTGACCATGGGGTGCGGCTTTGGGAAACTGACAATGTACATGTAAATTTTACTCCCATCAGCAAAAGCCCATCAGCTTTGGACATTGTATGGTTGTGGTTGTGGGACGGGCTTTTCGACTTCGCACATGTTTACATGTACCCGACCTACTCTGCCTCAATCTTACTAGTCTTGGGGGCCAAAAGTCGGCAACTCGAGTCCGACTCCAAGACGAGTTAGCCGACCTTGTCGCGCTTGCTGCGCCGCCCTCAAGTTATGCAAAAAGCTGCACAACAACAACAAGCGCGGAGGTACACGACTACTTTGAGGCAGCGACAAGAGTCCTTTTGCAACTGCGTGTATTCACGGGTACTCCTGCAAGTCAAAGTCGTTATCCAGCCAGAATAGTCTTAGTGTAACTGAAACCCCTGCCTCTCGAACGATATCCCTGTTCCCCCCCACGCAGCGCGAAAGACAAGAAAAGACCGACTTTGTGAGCCCGCCCGTGGCTGTGTGTCTTGTCTTTCCCCTCCAGGCACCCGCTGAATCCGATCCAACAGCTATTCGTAATAGAACTTTCGGGCGATTACTCCAGAATGAGTGAAACATCAATGTTGAACAACTGCATTCCCAAAAGAGATAGACCCATACGAGCTAGGCAGAATAATAAACGTTCTTCTCTCACTCATGTCTTTGTCGATGCAAAGTCTAAATGTGGTACAGTGGGTTGGAACCCATACAGAAACTCGAGAAACCATAGCCAGGCGCCGCCGGGCAGAAAAGCATAGATCAACCACCGCAGCAACGGTCCAATGCCGTAGGGTAGAAAGGCTCCGTGTAGTAAAATAAAGCGGAAACTGAACTTGACCACTTCCTTTGCCCTCTTTTCTCGCATCTGGCTGTACTTCTGGAGGATTGGTTCTACTTTCTGCTCCAAAGACCCTCGATTTTCCTGGATTAGGCTAGCCAGAACCGCCGCATCTTCAATTCTGCGTTTGAAAACACCTCGGATTAGCATCTTCAATCACATTCGCGTCTCAATCTCGATCTCAAGCATGGAGAAACTCACGCTAGGTTTCCGCCCTGGCCACTGTTCAAGAAAGTTGCCAAAAGTCAGTAAAATGCCGTTGGAACTAGGGAGAGGAATGGTTGGGAAAGCCTTTCCCGGGGGAGCAGCCCCAAGCTAGATGCTTAGCTTCCAGACTAGGCTCCGTGATCTGCAACGGAGGGATTTTGAGAGGGGCGCGCGCGTTTCCGCAAATACGTACAAGGCACTGGTCATGCTGTGCGCGGCTGTTGGAACCAGTTAGCGGGTTCAATCCTCCATCACAAACAACCTTTGATGAGAAAGGTCATGGAATGATAGGGAAGACAGAAGAGGAAGAGCTTACAGTCGCCGATAAGACAGACTCTGCCTCGGGCCATTGAAGGGAACTCAACTTCTTGGAACATATTGCAGGCAAGGATACGCTCGTTCTTTTCGACAACTAGAACAATAACACGTCAGATTTGGGCGTTCCTTCAAGCCACCCGGCAATGTCGTCAGCGAAATGGGAGGGATTCAGCTCTCTGACTTACTATCTCTAAACTCTCCTTTCTCCGCGAACGGGTGGAACTTGTCTCCGTAGACTGAATTGATGGTATCTTCGTCACAGTTGCTCCAGATAGACCGATCATAATCAACCTTCTCGTCGGTTTTCTGTTTCGTTGCCAAGATTAGCTGAGGGTCACCCCTACCGGCATGCGTAGGAGTACGGAGGACTTTTCGTACCGTGACTCCGATGAACCATTGTCGGTTGTCGGGGCATGGCCAAGTTGTGAGAGTCGAGTTTTCGTAGAGCATCCAGTTGGCGACACCGAGGTCCTGAGTACTAAGATGCTCCAGCGGAGCGGTGATGCCACTCATGTGGACACGCCCTGTGAACTTGATGGTGTTGGCCTCCTTGAGGCCAGCGTCTCGAGCCAGGCATCTCCGGATAACAGACCGTATCCCATCAGCACCGACGACGACGTGAGCCCGGAACTCTTTCCCCTCGTCAGAGACCACCCTGACGAAGGACTCGCTCGGATCGTCAATGACATCAACAATCTTTGTGCCGAACTGCACGACATCATCGCCTCCCGCAGCATCAAAGAGTAGTCTGTGAAAGTGGTGACGCTCCAAGGACATGACCGGATACCCGAACTTGGCCTCGCAGCCCGCCCAGTCTACCGTATTCCAGAGCTTATTACCGCGCCAGATTTGCACTTTCCGCAGCTTCTGGCCCGCTTCCAGCACTTTCTCGTACACGCCGAGTTGATCGAGCATGCGGAGGCCGTTAGGCGAGAGCGAAATGCCCGCGCCGACGGGGCGCAGCACGTCGCTTCGCTCGAGGACCTTGCACGAGATGTCGAGGCGCGAGAGGATGGCTGCCAGCGTGAGACCGCCGATGCCGGCACCGACGATGAGGACCTCGGCGTCGACTGGAGATGATGACATGGTTGAGAATGGGGAAGGATGCGGGACTTAGGTATGTAACGTTCCCCCTCGAGAGGATGATGATGATGTCTGAGTTGCCTGTTTGGCGCTTCCCCTATAGTGTCGGGCCGAACGAAGGATGATAGGTTTCTATATGAGCAGTGGAGTTCCATCGGCTTTCATGGCAGTTGAGAGGCGTCTTATGTATTATTCACTCAACGTGTCTCGAAAGATCGCGGTGAGATCCAATCATAGGATAGAGACGCCACTGTTTATCCGCGTTCCTTCGGCATTCAACTACCCAGGTGCCCCGGCCGTCTTGGAGCGGAATAATCAACGAAAAAGATGGGCTAAGAGCTAAGACGGAAGGTTTTAAGGCTTAGGCCGGCCGGGTTTGTTCTTTATTAGACTTGGTGGGCTGCGACGTGGATTCCGGCTCCGGGGGCTGTGCCGCACCGTTCCGGACAGGATCTCAGCGGCGGCCGGTCCGTTAGTTCGAGGGGTACGCGGAGGTGCTGGGGAACACGTAGATATCAAAACAGGCACTAAGTCATGTTCTTCAATTCTCGTGCCGGAAACTGCTAAGAGTGCCGCATCACACTGGTGACGGAATTCCCTAATCAAACGAGCTTGGAGATTCCCCATTTTACTGGAGATTGAAATTCCCCTGCTGAGTTGATTACTTCTGTTCTGATTTTAGTCTACTTGCCCTAGAAATTGACGATGCTAAACCAAGCAACTCTCGAGTCCGGTCCTGGTAAGTCATATATGATCAGATATAGCAGTCCATTCAAAAGAACCTCTTTGTAGCAATAGCAGTCAGGTTTGCCTCGAGTCTCATTAATCGCTTTAGACACCTCTCAACTACTTCCTTGAGGGGTTCCAGGTGTCAAAAACGACTCTCCATCGCGACTTAACCAATTTCTTGTGCTGCGACAATATTTTCCTACTCAAATATCTTGATCTACCAAAGCATTGCTATTTACAAGAGACACTGAATTGTTTACTTAGCGCTGTCGCTTTTCGTGGTTGTAGAGGCGTCAGGAGGATGAGGCAGTGCTCCAGCAAGCGGCACGGTGACTGGGAACTTCGATGGAAAGCCACTGATGATTCATGGTTGCAGTGATCATTCTAAATCGAAGGAACTTTGTAACAATTCGAAAACAACGCCGTAGTCCGTAAGGCAATGTACACGAACATTGGAGATCAACTTGGATGGGGAAGCCAGCCCCCCAGGAACCCAAAAAGGCGACTCCCGTTCGGGGCGGGGCCGGGATCCACTCTTTCCGGATAGATTCCCACATGGATCCGGCAGTTCCGAAATTAGAAACAGTCGGTGCCTGCTCGCTTCTTGAATAAGCCCCAATGCTGCTTTGAGCAGAGATCTCCCTCAAGCCACCAGAAATCTCCCAGATACACTGCTGTGTAGGGGCATGCACGATCCATCCTTGAGGAAGCGACCAAGATATCGCGAAAAGAACAACCCGTTTCTGAGTATTATTGGGTCACACCTCTACAAATCTGGATATTCTACGCCGTTACTCCACAAATATGCTTTCTAGCACTCACTCCCACGCGAGAACCGAGGGTTCGATTCATTAGTCCTGAGGTGACCCCATGGCCTTCAGGAGTACCTTATGCCGAGGGCCTGACTTCGTCAATCCCACGAGCAGTCGAATATGACACAAACTGGATTGCCTACCACTGGATCTCAGCGATACCGACCTGAAGGGTCTCAAAGTTCTGGAGCAACCGTTAGTACCACGGACATCGTCACTGACGGAATAATATGGCGGAAACATACCATAATAGCGACCTTGTCCTTGAAGAACGTCTCGCCAAAGTTTCCAATGAACCTGTCGCCGGTCGCCATGGCGCGCACATTCAGAGCGCACCTCCCGTCCGGCAGCGTCTCGACGTAGTGCTTCGGCGTGTTGGTCCAGACCTTGTCGTGTCCAGCAAACTTGTAGCTCACGGTGGGGAACGAGGCGACGTTGCCGCAGTCGACAGAGTACATGGACTGGTTGCCGTTGTTGATGATGGTGGGGTCCTCGAGCGTGAGCGGCTGGCCGCCCGTCAGGTTGACGAGCTTGTCGTACGCGTTGGGGGTGAGAGGGATGCCGCGCCCGTACGAGGCGTGGTCGAAGATGGAAGCTTTGCCCGAGCTGTTGGACGTGGGTTCCGTGGGCTGCAGCTCGTCGCCGATCCAGAGCGAGTCGAGGGGCGTGGCCCAGTAGTTGTACAAACCCGGAGAGTACTCAAAGGCAAGCGTGTTGACGTCGGGGAAGACGTAGTTTGCGTACCAGTAAATCTCGCTGTCCTTGACGACCTGGTCCATGATGCCGCCAAAGGACTGGAGGCCGTCGCTGCCACCGCAGGTGGGTTTCATGGACTCTTCGTAGCAGTAGACGAAGCTGATGGTCGGGTTCTTCCATTGGCCGGCCTTCCACTGCTGGTAGAATGGCGACTGGAAAGAAGCTGGAAACGAGTCAGTTCAAAGTGTCATATGAGAAGCTTCATCTACAACTCTTGATCACGTACCATTGTCACCCTTGAAAACAGGGGAGAGACCCAAAACTCCAGTGAAGGGGTACGGGAAAGCAGAGAGATCAAAGTTGGTATCAGAGAACTGCATGATGGAGTTTGAAGTCACCGGGCCGATCTGGACAGCATCTTGCGCATAGTCGACCGTGAGAGGCTCCCAGAAGAAGAAGTGGTTGGGCAGCCAAGTGCGGCTAGGAAAACGCTTAGATGCGTCTCGGTGAGATGTCGACTTGGCCGGGTCGTAGTAGAGCTGCTGCGCGTTGAGGCAGGCCGCGGGGTCGTTTTCTTCTCCGTAGCACTTGGGCGAGAGGATGTACTGGCTGATCCAGGTCCAGTCCACAAAGATGGGGATTTCCTGAGGAGGGTTACCGATCTTCTGGTGGGAGAGGAAACCGAACTGGTTCCAGGTGAGTTGCATATCGAAACGATCGGCGGCCCAGCTGCGAGGGGCCCTCATCTTGCCTGCTTCAGTAGAGCCGGCCAAGAGTGGCAGCAGTACTGCAAACCTGGAGAGCTGCATCTTGTCGATGTTATGGGATGGATCTCGGAGCAAGCGCTCGGCAGGAGGATGAAGGTCTATTATGAGAAATGGGTGAGGGAAAGGAGTGAGCTGATGAGTTTGAAAATGCCACAAGACTGTGATCAGGTCCTCCTTCTTAAGCATTTCCTCACTTCGGAGGTGGTCCCGAGGAAGTCTGGCAGTCAGCGTGGCCCTGATCTCCGTTTCCGTCCCCTCTCGGAGGCTTCAGTGTCATTGAACAAAACTCCAATTCGGGAGAACAAGAAGGTTTATTTTTGCGGAGTGACTAGTGGCCAAGCCACACTTGGTCTCCGTGAGATCGACAGCACTCGTCTTGCATCTCGTCTGGGTTCTCCATGTCTCTTTGTTTTGAATGTGAGTGAAGCCTAACGACATATGTGCGGTCAGAATCATGAGGACGAAGGAAGAAATAAACAGGAGTAGTAAACGACTTCACCAAAGTTGCCGCATACCCGACAATCTGGGACGAGGTTCCACTGCCGGAGACAAACCCCCGCATCTCTTTCGAGACTACTGTTGTTGTCGCGATGTCGTCATGGTAGCACACGACATCAAACAGGAACCCCTACCACGGATCTCGATCCAATCAAGCTGTCAACGCTCGTGTGCGTCGCGCTCATGAAGTTTCCCGAAGACCGATGCCATGGTTAACTCCATCGACGCAGGACACTAAGGAGCATCTGGGGAACAGCCTTCTGTCGTTTCAACGGCTGCGGATCAATCACTCGCCACGCGCTGGCCCTCCTAGTCACCGCCGTGGTCGTCCAGTGTTCCATGGAGAACCTCCGGTGACTCTAAAGGAGAAGCGGATGGCGCCTGGAAGTGGTCCTTTGGGTATCCGTGCCATCTCCTTAGCATCTTTTGTTACTATCGGAGCGGTTCCACGCTTCAAGGCTACGAGATGAATCTTCTCTGGAACACCATCCAGCACGGCTGGAGACTGACATCGTCATCTCGGTCGTGAGAGTTCATCGCCACTTTGCATCACGGTTTGCAACTTTTTGCCATCACGGATTTAGTTTGCAATGTTCGATATAAGACTTGGTCTTCGAGGAGGCTGAAAAGTGCTTCCAGAAGGTTATCAACAAGCTTCTCGGCGCATTCGGTCGTCAAAGGTTCTCGTGAGCATCTCGCCGGTTGACCGGCCTCATTCAGAATCAAAAGATATTTTGCTTTTACTCACCAAAGCCCAGCTTTTTGCCAAGACTAATTGCTCTCTGCTTTCGCTAAGATCACGACAACTACCGTCTCTTACTCATCTCATCATATTACTTACATTTATCCGCATCGCTATTACCAACATGGAGGTCATCACTCTTCTCCAAGGAGACGAAGACTCCCACCTTACACCATTTTTCATGTGTCACGCCATCTCAGGGCTCGCACTACCCTTTCTCCGCCTCGAAGCTCTTAGCGAGGACGATGAGAGGCCAGTATACGGCATTACTTCCCCTATGCATTGCCCTGGAGGCGATGACTTTGAATTTCCCGAAACATTGCGAGATCTCGCTGCACTCTACGTCGAGAAGATCAAAGAAGTCCAGCCATTGGGCCCTTACTTATTAGGAGGATGGTCAATGGGCGGTATGATCGCCATGAACATGGCTATGGTTCTGCGCGACCAGGGAGAAAAGGTTACAAAGGTAATCATGCTCGACTCGGCCAACCCGGAGACCTTCCCCTCGTTCCCCAGCGCCAAGGATCACCGCTCTCTCACCCACCTCACCTTTACCAGGACCGTTGCTGCCGACATCAGACTGATGGACGCCGACTGTTCTCCCATCGGGTCGCCCGTCATCAGCGAGAGCGAGTTCGGAGACTACCTGACCCCTAGCGAGAACCGAACGAGTACATGGGGAACCTTTACAACAGAGATCTCATACTCCAGCAGCACTTCGAGCGATTACGAAGACGATAGCCCGGCTTGGTCCCCGAGTACTCCTGGGTCACCAGCTTGCAGCAGTGACGCCGGATCAGAATACTGCCCCGAGCAAAATCGAATGCTGGAAGACTTTCCTACCGAGGATCAAATCGACGCCGAGATCCTGACAGCAGCTCACGATCTCGAGGTCGCCAAACACGAAGATGGAGAAGAAGGCGACGAGGACGAAGAATTGGACGACGACAACGAGCCGGATCAGGTCCGCGACTTTCTACAAAAGATCAAGAAGCACATCCACAAAGGCCTCGGCCTCATCTCGACCGTCGAGCCGGGCCAGTTACTCCCCAAAGACGGCGTCTCCGACTTCCACACCGTCCTCATCAAGTGCAAGCCCGACCCGTTCGACGACCCCAACCTTACCCAGCGTGAGCGCGAGGGCGTCATCTTTGTCCGCTCCGTCATGCGTGAGAAGGCCATGTGCTGGGAGGCGGACAAGTTTGCCAAGTTTGAGACGGTGCCCTTCAGCGGCGACCACGATGGCGCGTTCGAGCCACAGCACGTGGGCGAGCTGAGCGGTATTTTCAGAAAGTGTTTGCAGGGTCTGGCATGATCATGGCATTTTGGAGGTTGCCTTCCTGGTTGAAGTCCTGGTGGCTTCATTACTCATTTTTTGTTTACTGTTGGAATTTGTGCTTTAAGGCGCGCATGCATTGAAAGCGATGGATGGCAATGTGATTTACGGTGTTATTGGCGGCATTATTGAGGGCGTTTGGAGTTGATTCCATCTACGGGTCGAATTGTATTGGTGCGTCGGTAAATTAGACATATCTTAGGCATTTACTCTAGTAGCTCACAAAACTGCATTAACTTTATCCTGAAGCTATTCGTAATGCTCAACATCACCATCAATACCGCGCATGTAGGAATTCGGGGAGCAAGTCATCTTTCTAAAACGTGTTCCTTTTCTTCGTGCCTCATTGACATAGGCCTCATCTTAGCTCCTAGCGGCGGGGCAGTTGATGGGATTCTATGGCTTGGCGGCTGCGCAACAAGGCTTGGTCGAAGCATTGCGAATCTCGATCGGAAGGAGGAGCCAGCAGGAAGTAAACAACGAACGTCGAAAAGAGCTGCAGTCTTTGTTTACATTCTCCATCTCCGTGCCCCTCTCCGACATATTGCTTAAGCTCGCGGAGGTATAGAGGCACGCTTAGACTCCCCAATCCCTGCTTCTTCCGGATGAAAGAGGACTGGCCTCCGCCCCCATCTGGATGCATGTCTCCTCCTCCACGGAGATTTTCTGCTGACAGGCAGGTCAATGTTCCAGAAGTTTAAACTACGTTGCATTCGTGTAACGCTGAAATATGACCAAACTCAATTTTACTCGGCGAAGCTTGGTGATCACGAGTGCTAAGATTATGCAATGTCGCCGGCAGATCAAGAGCGTCAATGGCGCACACCGGCCGACGATAAACATATTTCATTTGTTTCTAGCCCCCAAGTAGAGCGTCTGATCCGGGTGCGAACGAGGCACAAGTAGGAGACATGTTTTATGATACAGTGTTCGCAACGGTAATTTCAGCTTACAGAGAGGTCTAATGATCATAACTTCATTGATTCTCTATTCCAATAATGCCAAATGCCCATCGCTCATTATGGTGGACTACTAATTCTACTCATATAACCGTCGTGCACTACAATAATCTCAACATCCCGCCATAATCTCGGGCCACTTTCTCCTAGAAACCTTCACTTTCAAGTCACCCTGATAAGATGTCAGCAAAGCGACCTAGATATCTCCAAAACTATTGGACGGCCTACCTTCAGCCAAGGGGAGCCAACCTTGTCAAAATCGAGGTCTTCAAAGTCAACAGTCCGAGGCTGGTCCGGCGAAGCCCAGGTAATATCGTAGGACCGCAACAGCGTCGTTAAGGTCTGCGTCACAATGATCATGGCCATCTTCTCTCCTGGACATCGATGGCTGCCGCCGCCAAACAGCATGCTCTTCACACTGTTGCCGTCCTTTTCTTCGAGGTTAACAAGCTTGTTCTCGGCATTGAGCCAACGTCCGGGCATCCAGGTGTCCGGGTTCGGATAATTGGCGGGGTCATGGTGTGTCAAGTAGGGCGAGATGGACACAACTGAGCCCTTTGGCACGATAATATCCGTACCTGGGACAGGTACTTCCTGCATCGCGAGACGGAGGCACTTCATGCCTGCATAGTAGCGCATCGTCTCCTTGATACAGGCCTGTAGAAGCGCCGAGTCTGTATTTCCGTTACGGGCATCTCTCTTCACGGCTGCCATGACATCGGGATGGCGTAAAAGCTGAGAGGCGTTTGTCAGTTTTGCTGCTCATTCACGTGAAGAGATGAAGACTATACGTACGCATACCACGACCCACGAGATCGCAGCGACTGTGGAAGTGTGAGCAGCAAACATCAAAACAGTGTGATGAGAAGGAAGAAAGTGCCTCAAAGGCGCCATGCTCTGTTCGTGCAGCGTGTGCGTGATGTAGTCCGGCAGGTCAGTCTCGAGGTCACCGTTCTTCGCCGCGACGTGTCGCTGGCTAAGCTTTTCCCAAAAGATCTCCTTCACGCGCTCACGAGCGCGATGCAACCTCCTCGCCGGGGGGTGAGGCACCCAGTCGGGCAGCACAAAGGACCAGATGCTGCCAATATCGGACTCCATCGCGTGCAATAAGCCCAAGAGCTCTTCGCTCGACTCGTAAAAGTCATCGCCCATCAACGTTCTGACAATGACCTTGTGCGTCAATTCGGACACGCCGTCAAAGAGCTCCACATCGGTCTTGGTCGTCCACTCAAGTGCGCAGCGGTGCGTCTCCTCCACGGTACACTTGGCCATGTGCGCCTGAGCCGTGGCGCGGTTGATGTACCGGCTGAGGGAGCCGACCATGACCCTGATATTATCCATGTATCCAGGGTCGAGTATCTTGTTGAGAAATATTCCCTAACAATCACATGTGAGTTGAGACAAGTCCTACTTTTCTAAATGTCTCAAAATCTGGGGTTGAGGTGGCTTATCTGGGAGAAGGGTGACCTCACCATTCCGTGGCCGAAAGACCAAGCCTTCTCGGGCATGTCGAGATAAGCCTTGTTGAGCTCATTTCCACGAAGCCAGACATTGTGGACCGTTAGGATCTGAATCGAGAAGATGTTACCGCATTGGGATTGAGCTCGACGGATGAGCGAGATGGGCTTGACTGCGTAGTCGTGGGCGTCGCTGAGGAAGGAGAAGAAGCCCTCGCCTTTGTAGGCGGGGATCGTCCTAGGCTTGGAATACCATCTTGCTAGAAGTATTACTGCGACCAACAGTGCTGGAAGAATCAACATCATTCGAGGAGTGGACGACGACTGGACCGGCGGAGAAACGAGTGTGACTGGTGTATGAGCCAGACGGGCTCGCGGATACACTCGAAGAGAGAAAATAACGAGAAATATTGGTGGACTTGTCCAGGAAAAAGGATCTGGAGGGCACGAGTCTTTCTTAAGTTCAGCAAATTACCAATCTCCATGAACACTGAGAGATGCCCGACGGCGGAGGTCCGTCTGAAGCCAACGAGACAACAACAAAACAACAATTACCTTCGTGGTGGATGTTGAAATGAACTCCATCGCGTAGCCAAGGCCACCCGAAACATGTTGACTTGTCGGTGAAGGTCGATTTTCTTGCTCCGGTGGGTAAACAAAACGTCCCTCCGAAAGGCCTCGGAATGCGGTGATGTCCAGGCGTTGGGCTCAAGGGATGATTTAGCCTCGTCGATCTGGGGTATGAGCCGCTCCATCGAAACTGTGGCTTGAAGTGGCTCATGCATGGATACTCTAAGATATTCTTTGCATCAAGCTTAAAATCCCGTGACTTGAAGATCCTGCACATGCCTATTTCAGCTTGAGGATTTGCGGGAGCAGTCAGATGTGACTCCCATTATCTCCTCGTCGATATGCTTCAGCCCGTCGGAGATCGCGAGCGCCTGACTCCGCCGATCCTCGAGCATGGCATGGATGGAGCCTAACTCAATGGAATCACTTTCACATATGGATTATACGAAGTTGGGCTCCTCTTCCCTGGGTTCGGACTACGGAGAGAGCTTGAGGAGTCATGGGTGCGCGGCCAAGGTCCGCCTGCGCCTTGGACATCTCGATCTCATAAGACCCATGCTGCTAGCGTTCCGCCGATCGCTTTTAGCAAAGAACCGTTTAATAATTGTTCGAACGCGTAAGAGAGGACTCCGCCGGAAGCTTTTTGATGGCTTGGCTTCGTCGGAGGTAAACATGCTAGTTGGATGTTTCTCGTATATTGTCTGCATCACATTTGGCCAAGTACTCTTCCTCTTGGAATTTGCGGTTGCACGATGCAACAGATGTCGCATTGAGAGCTTCTAGAACATCACTCAGGACGACGGTTCACTTTATTTCACCGTCGAATCCCGGTGGCGTACGTCATGCAATGCCCTCTCCGAAGGTCCGGGTGGATTGCTGTGCCGTGAACATACGCAAACGGACTATGGAACTGCTCTTACCCTGTCGATGTCGCGTGACACTTTGAGTGGATATGCCTACTTCTTTCATATGGAGGATGAGGGTCGACTCAGAATATATTATCGACGATAAACCCTCCGGTCCTAACTCAATTCCTGGCGCCATCACGTAGCGACACTGGCCTCTTTGGCTACAGCTGTCTTCGCCCATGTTATCGTCTAATTCTGATGGTTCTCATTCTTATACTCTGACAACTCATGGTTTACTTTCATTCTGAGTACTGTGAGCTTTCATTTCTTGCTATTACTGAAGGGCCCTCTGAGCGCACGCATAGTTGGTAGGCTCACCTAAAATGAGATACTGGTAAGGCCAGTGGTCTGGAGATAAGTGAAAGAAGCTTTGAGAGGTTTCGCATCAAAATCGCAGCGAAATCTAGATCCAGCGATCGTTTTTATGCACCCCATGCTCAGTTTGACGTGTTGAAGAACACTCTGTGCTCTGATCAACGAGTCTCTTCAGGCGATTGGGAAACTGTCTAGATACTGCCAGCCCGCCTTTCTGCCCTTTTTCTTCTCTTCGCATACCGTAAACTCTTATCTTAAAATCGACATGGTTGCAAATGCCTCGACGAAATTAAGACTAATGATGACACGATCCTTTTGTGCTGTCTGGTGATCTTATCATGCCAACATAGAGTGCCGATCGCCAAAATGTTGGATTATGCGGTTGCTCGCTCGAGGTATCCTGGCCTATTTCACGATTCAAAGAGCCACCGAAATTAAGAGTCAAGCCAGTCAAGAGCTGTTGGCTGTTCTTCTTTTACAAAGCATACTTCCGATGTTCTCCGGAGTCTTCCGTGTTGACTCGGACGGAGGCTGTGCCTTCTTAGCCAATCACATCTTACCACCGGCCGTTGCGGCGGGATCCACCCCGGGGCTCCCATCCGTCTCCTAGCGGAGGAGCCTAGGTAACAGCATCCAACATATCACAGCCACTCTCACCCAAGCCGGACTTTGTTCTTGGAAGTCCATTTCGCTAATCTAATCCTTGGCGTCTCGTTTGACTATCGACCGATTGTGCTTCGTATTATACTTTTGCCAACTAAGGACCAAGACGGAGGAAAGAGGGCTGTACATATCCTCGATCTTGTGGTCTGCGAAGCAGGGGAGAAGGGGGCCCAAAAGATCATCGGCGCAATGTATTTAACAGTCACCCGCGACCTTCCGGAAGAACTCCTTCCTGCCCTACCAGCAACCACAGACCATCCTCCTCGTCAACGAATCAGCCAACCCGCCATAGCTCCTCGCCATGCAGCTGTCACTTCTCCTCGCTGCGTTTTCTGCGCAGGCAGTCCTTGCCGCACCTCGGATCAAAAGAGACGCCCTCAAATCATGTGTGGAGGAGGTCTTTGGAGGGAACGCGGCTCTGCGCATCGTGACACCGACTGATCCTACTTACCACGATGCGAGAATCGGAGAGGCCATCCAGTGAGACCGGTATACTGCCTCAAAGTTCAGGACACAGTGCTTACCATATGGTCAACAGGTTTACACAGATGCCAGTGTTGATTGCTTACGCAGAAAAGCCATATGAAGTTGCACCCTTGATCCAATGCGCAAAGACGAGTGGCATCAAAGCAGTCCCCAGAACCGGTGGTCACCAGTAAGCATTCAACATCTCCAAACCTGCCCTCGGTGAGTTCAAAGTAACTTACTTTGCACAGCTTCCTCGGGTACTCCGCCCTCCAAGATGCCCTCGTCATCGACATCACCCACATCGACTACGTCAACATCGCAGCAGACAAAAAGACCGCCACCGTCGGCGCCGGCATCCGCTTCGGCGCCCTCTACACGGCCCTCGGCCAGCAAGGCCTCGACTGGACGGGCGGCATCTGCCCCACAGTCGGCATCTCGGGCTTCCTCTCCGCGGGCGGCTTCAACATGCAGATGCGCCAAAACGGCCTCGGCGTCGACAACGTCGAGTCCGCAAAGGTAGTCACCTCAGACGGCTGCATCGTAACGGCCTCCCGCGACGAAAACGCCGACCTCTTCTTCGCCATCCGCGGCGGCGGCGGCGGATCCTACGGCATCGTCATCGAGTGGACGCTGCGCATGTACGAGTTCCCCCGGTCCGCCATGGTGTACCTGCAGTGGAACGGCTCCGACACGCGGTTCGATATCGCAAAGACGTTCCATGAGTGGGCGCCCCGCGCGGACAGCGCCCTCAGCTCGCAGGTGAACTTGTACAAGAACCGCACCGACGTGATTGGGTGGTGCTACGGCTGCACCCTCGACAAGCTGCAGGGCATGGTGAACGCCTCCGGGCTCCTGGGTATCGGCAAACCGGCGGCGTACATCTCGGGCGGGTGCAACACCATCAACGCCCGCCTCTTCGGCTACGGCGTCAACGAGTGCGGCGCCGACGAGGCCGTTGCGCAAGTCGCGCCGTTTGTCGTCAACACGATCCAGCAGCCGTTCGTCCAGATCCCGGGTTACGCAAACTTCACTTACAACGAGACGACAAAAGCGCCCGAGCTACCCCCCGCGCAGCCCTGGGCGCGCTTCATCCGCCTGTCGAAATCCTTCATGGTCCAAAAGGATAAGCTGCTCACTGACGAGACGATGAAGAACGCCATCTCGCGGATCGACGAGCTCGACGACGCGGCGCAGGGGTGGATCGAGTGGCACGCGTGGAACATTTCGGTCGCGGGCGATGCGGCGTTTGCGTGGCGCGAGCAGGCGTATTCGCACATGGAGTTCATCGTGTCCAGCTCCGCGGATGAGAAGGTCCATGCTGGCTATGTGAAATGGTTCAAGAGCCTGGAGGATTACCTACGTCCTCTTGTTGGGTGGGTTCTTCTTCGTTCTAGTTGTGTTTTGAGCCTGATGAGAATGAGTGACTGATGAGAGTGACAACAGAATGGCGAGTTACTCGGGCTACATGGATGACACGATTTCCACCCCTCCGCTTGATTCGTACTACGGCGCCAATGTCGCAAAGCTGTCTCAAATCAAGTCCAAGTACGATCCCCGGGGCTTCTTCGCGAATGTAAGTATATCAACCGCCAGACAAACTGAATACATCGACTAACGAAGAGAACATAGCCTCTGAGTATCAGAGCTCTCTACCCAAACCAAACGGTGACCGGAGACAGCTGTCTGTAGATAAGGTGAAGACAGATCACGATACAAGGTTACCGAAGAACCGTATGACTGTGACGTCAGAACATAGTGTGCTTGATGACAAGCTGTAATCCAGCTGTGGAGCGAGATTCCGTCGATGGAAATGTAATGTAGCTGAAAGATCATCCCTTCACCCGCGCATGATCGAGTCAAGATAACCCACCCGATTGGGTCCCAAACATCAGATGAGTTGAACAAGCTCTCTTACCGAGGCCGTATCCCGCGCGGGGTCGACCGTGCAATGTCCGTCACTTTGAATTGGCTTTTTTGTTACTTCATTCTCCCACTCTCACATTCGTATTCTGATCTCAGATTGGCGAATGTACCTGCAGAAACATATGCACCATGAATACCACACTTGGCCGAGGAGCGCCAAGACCTGATGAATTGAGCGATGCGGGTTCTCTCTTACGGTGAGTCAACAAGCTGAAAAGCGATTTGATCTGATATCTAGCTGTAATTGTGTTTGTGCTGTTGAGTTGTTGCGAGTGAAGTCACAGCATTATCTCGTTCTGTCCGAAAGCGTCCATGATGGAAGAGAAGTTGAGTCACTTTTCCCACTGACCAGAGACCAAGGCAACCCCAAACCATAATCTGGCTCAAGACCTCAGACCAGTCCTTTGCAATCCACAAGTCCCTCCTAGTAGAGTCCTCAAAATACTTCCAACGCTGCCTCGACGGACCCTTCGCCGAATCCCACACAAACACAATCGACCTCAACGACACCGACGACAACGCAGACGGAAACGACGGCGAAGTCAACGTCAGCATCAGCCCGCTGACCCTAGGCACCTACGTGAAACTATGCTACTTCACCCGCCTCACGGCCCAGCGCGTCAAACGCTGCCGCCGCAACGCGGCGGACCACCCGGGCGAGGACGCCGTCTACTACGAGGTCTCCCCCTTCTCCCTGAAACCCTGCGACATGCACACCCCGCACGACCTGACGGAGCTCGTCGACATGTGGTCCCTCTGCGACCGCTTCCACGACGACCTGCTCCTGGGGAAAGTGTCCACCGCCATCCGCGAGACGCTCGACGTCGGGGCCACGAAGCTCGGCGGCAGCTGCGGAGGTGGTGATGCACAGCAGCAACACGGCGCCGAGTGGTGGGTCTTCAACTTCGCCAACGGCTACGTCGCGCTGGCGAGCCTTCACCGGAGGAGAGACGACGACGTCGAGGGGTTGATGGAGAGGTTGCGGGATCTGTTTGTGCAAAACTGTTCGCCGGCTTCGTGGGAGAGGCTCGCGGGCCAGTTGCCTAGCGAGTTCGTGGTTGCGGCGTCGATTGCGTTCCAGGCCAAGATGGCGACGTTGATGCCGCACGAGGCGGCGATTGCAAGGGTCAATGGGGCGAGTCTGTGTTATGAGTGTAAGACTAGGGTGCAGACGGCTTTGAAGAGATGAAGATAGATGTACGTTTTTCTCTTGGCTTCGTTTCTAATGATTGTTTCGGCTGCAAATGGGATGCCGAAGCGGTCATTTTTCAGCTGTGACAGCAGAAGAGGAATTCCTTCAGACCTGCCATGAGGGCTATTATTGAGTTGATGTGGATTCCCTTACACTATGAAGACCAGATTACGTCTGTCTTATAGGTAAAGCCAAAGTCGATGCATGGTGGTGTTTGTTTTGGGATCAAAGCCTTGGTGGTCTACGATCCTCGTGGTTCCCTCCATCCTGTATCTTGGACAAAGACAATAGACAGAATCACTGGCTGTATGAGTATTCCTCATGTTCTGAAGACCGATAGATAGGCCCAGACTTTGGCTGCTCCACAGTGAGGGCTGAAGATCATCATGATCACCTGCTTGGATGACGGCGAGTAGCCCTCGATATCTCGAGGCTGACATGTAGTGGAGCTTCAACTGATCAACGTCTACGAGATCCCTCAATCACCGTGATATCCCGCATATAACTCTGCTTGAAATGTAAGGCAGGTTTCATTGATGCACGTAATACCTAAGCTGAAGTCTTTCCTCCCACCCAACCATCTTTTGTATGCGCCACAATGGTATACATGGAACCGACACCCCTTTCTATATGCACCTAATCTGCTCCACAAGCTTCAACAAACACACATCATCATCTCTTTGAAACTCTCTTACACCAAACATCCATCCCATCCCATACCATCCTCATTGCTTTCCCTGACTAACATCAGGATACACATCAAACCTCCTCTGCGAATTAATAGGAATATTCCTCCTCGCCTCCTCAATCTTCTCACCCTCCAACTCCCACGCAACAGTCCCCTCCCCTTCCTCCGCCTCAACAAGTACATTCGCCATCGGGTCGATAATCAACGAGTGTCCCCAAGCGTGGTACGTCGCGCCCATGTCCCGCGCGGGACTGCACATGGCCACGTAAATCTGGTTATCCACCGCCCTCCCCTGTCCCAGCAGCCGCCAGTGCATCGGCCCCGTCGTCAAGTTGAAGGCGCCCGGGTACACGAGCGCGAAGCATCCCCGGCGCGCGGCGATGGCCGCCAGCTCGGGGAACCGCACGTCGTAGCAGATGGCCACCGAGATCCGCCCGTACTCGGGGAGGTCCACGACGGTGACCTGGTCGCCGGGGCTCAACACCTCGCTCTCCTTGAAGGTGATCTTGCCCGGGATATCGATGTCGAACAGATGCACCTTGCGATGCGTCGCCAACAACTTCCCCTCGGGCGAAAAGATCAAGCTCGTGTTGTAGAATTTCCCCGTCTCGGCATCCAGCTCCGGGACGGAGCCACCGACGAGGTAGCTCCCGCTCTCGCTCGCCATGGCCGCCAGCGCGTGGAAGCTGGGGCTCTGTTCCTTGGTGGGCGGGGACGGGAGCAGCGTCTCGGCGTACTTTGGGAAGTAGTCGCACCCGTAGGGCGAGTTGAAGCACTCGGGCAGGACGACGATTTTGGCGCCGGCGGCGCTGGCCTCGAGGACCTTGGCGCGGGCGTTGGCGAGGTTGGCGGCCTTGTCGGCGCCCGAGGCGAGCTGGATGCAGGCTAGCTTGACGGGCTTCTTGAGCACCGGGAACGGGAGGGACGACATCTTGCGGACGTTGCGATGAAAGTTGCCAAAGGGGACGAGGCGGTGGGCAGGAGAGTTGGTGATTGTTGTTGATAGGGTGCGGAGGGTGCGGAGGGCGAGGCGCATTGTATGTTGGAAGGAAGGGCTACGTGCTTTCCGAAGCGGAGGGGGTTGCGATTTGCGAGTGACGTTTGGTTCGGCGCGGTGGTGGTGGTGGTGGGGGGAGGAACGATAACGGCGGGGTAGCTGCCGTGACGGGCTTCGCGGTCGGAGCTCATCCCTGCGGTTCGGCTATTGACCGCATATCGCACTGTGTTTGTAGCATTCGAAGAGACGAATTCCTACAGTGCGAGGTACCTTTCACGGCTCCGAATTGTCCGATCCGTTATCGGGAAATTGAATTGCTTCGGCCCGGCTCCGATCGGCCTTCACCTTGGACTCCCCCGCGTCCAGCCGCCGCTAATTACTTTGTTTTCTCCTTGGACATTCCTTACTCCATGATCAAGAAGGATCCTTGCTCATCATTGCGCCTTGATATATAGTACGCAGTATTGTATTATCTCAAGTATTGATATACGGCTCGTGTCTTCCGAATTCTCATTGTCGTTTCTGAGATCTACAAGACCAGTTGAAGTATGCCACCTCGAAGCACGACAGACCTCATCAAGTAGAATCGATTCAATCCTCCGAATCCATCCCTCCATCCCCGAAACACAAGACACATAGACTCCATCGCCATGCCTACCATCCCCCATGGTGATGAATACCCTCCCACCTACACTCTCCCGGGCCGAGTAGGTAAAGGAATGTTTCTACGTAGCTTATAAGCTAGGGAGCAATCCACAACAGACATTCCATACCCCAACAAAGATCCCAGATCTCAACGCTACGGGAATCGGGCTACAGCTTTACCGTGGCACGCAAACTGAACCCACCTAACCCAGCAGCATCGGAACCTAACCAAGACTCGTTTGCGATTCCCGTGCCACACCTTACATTCCAGGTCAACTTACATACCAGCGAATGAACCCAAGCAATCGGTAAACCTCACGACGCACCGGTTGGCCGTCCGCCGCCGCCTTTCTTGCTTTACACCAGGCAAGGGGCTGAGATAGAATGCAAAAGAAAGGAAAATCAGAAATCCCCAACGACGTTGTAACAGGCACGCACCATTACTTACCCCAATCTCTCTTCCTCCCGATAAACAGCTGAATCTTTTTTTTTTTCGGCAGCCTGCCTGGCGACGTTCGTCCGGCCAAATCAGCTCTTGCTTCCCCCGCGTGAAACATCTTCTTTGTAAGCTCATGTTTGGGGTATCACAAAATCCGAAACCATGACAAGCCCAGTCCAGTCCAATTCTCCCGGACGCCAGTTATCGGTTAGAGCACGACGTAGTATCAATAACCGTTGCAGTCTGGTCCCAACCCAACTCCTTGGGTCGGATATGCCACTTCTACATGAAAGCTTAAAATTGAGGCTGATGTTTCTTCAATGCGAAGAGTGTCAGGCATTGGAGGCTCGACCGAAAATAAACTCCATCGAACAAGATCCCTTTACATATTTAGAGCATACGCATTGGGCGGTCATCAGACGGAATTTTTAACATGTTTTATCTGATTTTTTCCTTTTCTCTTGTAAATGAGATAGCTGCTTGCTCTGTAGCCCGCGGCGCTTCCGCCTCGCAGCATAAATCCACACACATGTCTTTCCCCTGACCCCCAATGTGAGCGGCAAAGCTTTGAAACACTTGATTAGGTATCAATCCATCGTTACGCGAATCCAATTCTGCTCGGCCTCTCTCTCCACTCGCTCCCGTTTCGTCTCATACTAACCACCCTTCGCAACCTGCTCCGCCTTCTTTCCTTTCTTCCCATGAGCCTCAACCTTGAGGCTCCGAGTTGGGACCACTCTCAGTGGTTTGTTTACCGTTCTTCTACTGGCCTCGGCTGCGCGGTACCAACGACCGCTGTGATGATGATAATATGCAAAAAAAATAGCCGAGTGATCCAGCCACAATTTTTTTTTGCCAAACTCTCTGTTCAGACCAACGCCGGCATATGAACAATAGATGACGAGAAATTAGACACAAAGGAAGTGGAGTAATATACATCCATATCGGTGCCGGCGTCCGCAATGGGCTCGCTGATGTATCGCGACCGGGAGGCCCAGGCGTGTAATCGCAAATATACGACAAAGTGGCAATCGTCGTGAATGACTAGCGCCGCCGGGCGGGGCCGTGATGAGCTTAGGAAAGCCGGAAAGACCGCGGGTATCGATTAGAGTTGGCATGTTTCATGCATGCCGTGGGGTGGGGGGTTGAGGATAATCATAGGCCACCTGGTGACCCAATATCGCTGGCTCTGCCTTATAGTATCAGCTGCTTGAGGTTGCGCTGGATAATCATATCCTGGACCGAGCCCATCGTGATCTTGAGCAGGTTCGTATCAGTGGCGTTCGTGAAATGTCCGTAAATTTCCTTCTCGGTGTTTCGGTTGAGGGCGCGGAACTTGTCCAAGAAGTACTTGCTGGCAGACTTCCAGTCTTCGGCGGGGCCGTGGTAATCCGTGAAACCGTGCGACGTGATTGGGTTGTTAGGGAGCTTCTCCTTGAAGAGATCCATCTTGTTCAGAAAGAGGATAAGGGCAGACTTCGTGAACCAGTGCGAGTTGGCAATCGACTCCCAGAGCATGAGCGCTTCGTTCATTTGGTTCTGTTGGGTTGGTCAGCTTGACAGAAAGCGAGAAAAAATAGACTCGGTCACACTTACGCCGTCCTTGTCCTCAACCAAACATTGATCGTATCCGCTGATGGCGACAAGGAAGAGCAAGCAATTGACATTTTCGAAGCAGTGGATCCACTTCTTCCGTTCTGAACGTTGGCCACCGACGTCGAACATGCGGTATGTCAGTTGACCGAGGTCGAAAACCGTTTCGGTGATTCCCGTGGTTCGCAGTCTTGATCGCAATAAATCTTGGTCTGTGGGCTCGTAGCTCGCATCCCAAATGCGGTCCAAATCGTCACAGAAGCTATATCGGTTAGGCATATTGTCTGCAAAGGTAGGTGGTGCGACAGTATGCTTACTATGCCAGGTTGTCGTGGAGGGCGAACTCGTTGCCCTTTGCTATTGCCTGCTTGACACCACTGTCGACCCAGAGTTCTTTGACAGGTTGCAGGTAATCGCGCGGGAGAGGGTCTTGGGCGTTGATCTCGTGTTCCACCAAGATATGCGCCATGTGCTTCTGTAAGAGACACCATGTGTTAGCCGGGCCGTTCTATTCATTGCACGCACGAAGAGTGACAGGATGTCTCGAGGTTGTCGCACGCAATTGGCGTCAACATGAGCTTTATCGGGGGTCGCTTGCCTCATTTTCGGGGTTGCTGAACTCGATTCCCATTTCGGTCATGGCATCTTGGATCAAACGGAATGATTGGACAATGTTGTTGAACACGACCGGCTTCCATTCGAGCTTTTCGTTCTTGCTGAAACCTTGTGCGTAAATCAACTTCATTTGCTTCAGGACAGTGGATTTTCCAGATTCTCCGGCACCTGTGCAAATGAAAACAAAGTCAGCGCACGAACAGATTCATTGTGCTAGTTAGCGATCGCGTCAACATACCCAGCAACAACAGCTTAACTTCTTTGGATAGGCGCTTCTCATCTTGTCGGATCATGCGGTCGAGGTCGCGCGAACGAGCACCACCGCCGTCATCTTTTGTTCGAGCCCCGAAACACATATTGGTGTAGGGACGTTTATCGCCGAATAACTTGGGTGCACGAAGGAGCCGGCGCGGTGACGCTGAACAAGTGTTGGGGAAAAAAAGAAAAGAAAGTAACGCGTTCAGTCGGTAAGAAAAAGTGTGGGCAGAAACCGAGAAACAATCAATGAGGCGGATAGGTGGAGATGGTAACGGTCTAAGGCGAAAACGAGGTGGGAGAAGAAATGCGAGCAGCTAGTTCCGGGGATGAGGGTTCTTGGAGGAATTCGCGTCGAGGTCCAGGTAGGATTGGAACGGTCTCGCAATGGTCCGAGGGCGTTGAAGGTCGGCAAGATCAGACGAAGAGATGAAGATAAGAGCGATGAGAGGTTGGCCGGGCCGGGATGGAAGAAAAAGGGTCGATTTGGATCGTAATCTCAGCGTGACGCAGGTGAAGCGCAAGGCGCAAGGCGGGGAGGATGGGGGGAAAGAGAGATTGGAAGTCGAGTCGAGTCGAGGCGAGACAACAAGGCGACGGGAGCGACGGCGAGGGCGGATGGCGTGGGTAGAAGAATCGAAATGCAATGCCTGCCCGTAGGTATGAAGTGCGGTGCGGTGCGGTGTGGTGTGGTGGTGCAGTGCTCTGCGGCGTGCCTGTCTCTGGCTGTACACCTTTTGGAGGTCCAGGTTTGAGGAATAAGACGGGCGGGAGTGGGCAGAGGAAGCTTTTGTCGGTTTTGTTCTTGTTCCCGCTGGCAGGTTAGAGAAAAACAAAAACCGCTAAGACTCTGGGGGGCGTTCGTAGCGGACGCCCGGTGAGCTGCGGGTTGCTAATGTTAATCCTCCTGCTCAGGTGTTTTTGCTGCCCAGCGAGGCCAATGGCGGGTCAGGGGAGAGAACTAACGGGCTAGCGCAGGAATTGGAGAAAGGAACGATGGCGACGATGATGTGAGGAGCAGACAAGAAGCTGAGGCCAGACGAGACGAGACGTGACAGTGACACACAGAGGCTGTTAAGCTATGTTGGTGATGACCAAGCGAGATTGATGTGATAAGGGTAGCCAAGTGCTGGGTGAAGGATCGAGGAAGACGGCGGACACGCACGGAACGGGGAAGGAAGATTGGAAGCAAATAGGAGAAGAGGAGGAAGAGAGCGAGAAAGAGAAGTCGAAGTAGACGAAGCAGACAGGTTGTTCTGCAGCAGCAGAAGAAGAAGAAGAACAAGCCAAAGTGCTGTATCCGTACGGGGATACTTGGTACCCAAACGCACGCACAAAGAGCAAACTATGAAGTACCGCCCTCTTCACTACCTACTGCTCCTGCTCCTGGGACTTGGGACCTGCTCAGTCACCTCACCTCATCCATCTGGAGCGCTCCGTGCTCTGTGCTCCATGCTCCTCACCTCATGGTATCCGTAAGGTACGGAGTACATTATGTGCTTATTACCTGATTCAATTTCATTAGCTGTCAACACTTGGTACCCTCCGTGCCTCCCTCGTCCTTGCCTCCGTCGATGGTCTCCGTTGACAAGGTACCATCGGGCCCCGTTCCATCACTTGCCGTGGCCATGGTATGTACGGATAGAGTAGGTATGAACCGAGGACGGCTGGATACGCAAAGTACCTTGTGGTGGTCAGGCAGGGTAAAGGTACCTCGCTTCGTACATTGGTTAGACGGGAAAGAGAGTCACGCAAGTGCTGGTCCCGGGTATGGGTACGTATGCTTGTCCTTGGGCTTGACTCCTGGCAATGGCATGGGCAAGCAAACAGAACAGGGTTGATGCGACTTTGCTGTGTCTATGGAAGCATGGATTATCTAGTCTAGATTGAATGATTATTCTCTGTACCCGTGTTCCTCCATGCATGGCGTACTGTGGTAGTACTGAGTAGACTCTGAACTGCTGCACTGCAAAGGTGAATAGCCGCACAACAAACGCCCACCACCACCACCGCCACGACGTCGATCACGACCCTGACTCTATGGAATGCCAGTCCGACCACCTTCGATGCTACCTCGCTGTACCCGTATGACCGAATTCATTCTAACCAACAGACCTTTGCTAGAGCTAGAGCTGCAGCATAGCTTATCCGTTGGAAAGCAAAAAAGAAAAAGGAATGCGACATGAACAGGAGAGCGGGAACAGGAACATGCGGAACTCTTGAGCCGGGGTGGTAGCAGTACCTGCCTCAACTTGCATGTCCCGAGTACGTACCTTGCTCTAGATTTCCACCTAAGGCGAGAGAAGAACGGGATGCAAGTGGGTCCATTTCCTGACGTACCTGGCTTGTATCGCCGGTCTGATTCGTCTTGTCATCCCGGCCCGCTCTTGCCGCAGAATTGCAGCTCACGAGACTTGGCAGCTACTTGTGCTGGGGTACTCTCAAGTCTGTCCGCGCCTTCCTTGCACTTGCATTAGAAAGCAAGCCACCTCCAGTTCCCCGTCGCACCGTCCACTGTCCAGTGACTCTGGTCGCCTTAGTACACAGGCACGAAGGCACGCCAATCCTCGTCTCCTCTGTGCAAAGCTACGAATGCCGTCTTCAGGCTTCACCACCTCTGATACCTCTTTCTCTTTGGTCAGATATTCAGTCCGCCATCATCTCAGACATTTCATCCGTCGCTCAACCAATCCAATGGCTCGTTGAAATTACTTCTTCTTCTTCTTCTCGGAGCCGGACAGTTCCTCGGGACCCAGCCGAACGAACCATCTCATGAATGCCCTCTCTTTGACCCTCATCGAGGATCGACTTCGCCGCATCCCCCAGTGCTTCGCACGCGACCCTCACAACCCTCTCGACACTCATGTCATGCTCCTCAAGGCACCACAAATGCATCTTTATATCGAATACCTACCTCTCAGCAACCACAACCTAAGCTTTCTGGCTGAGTTCCCTAGGTGCTAGCAGCCACTCGAATAATCTCTAGTTGCCGGTCTGGACGTGCTTTCGAAGAAGACCTATGTCATGGTTTGACGCACACCCTTTCTCATGCACAATGTTGGGCCGGAGTGTCCCAGAAATGCAGGTTGCGAGCTGCAAACTGCCATGCCTCATAACTTCTTGCACAAGGAGAGAAGCCAACGGTCACAGCAAACAAGCCGAAAGCCAATAGACTCTTGCAGATTCAGAGTACAATGGCCCATGGCTGCGTCGATTCAACAACTCTCAACCTCGAACCGTCTGGTCTGCCGCCAAAACACCAACCCAATCCGCGTCGCCTGTCTCATCCTGCCCTCACCTGCGGATACCTACACCACCTTCAAAGACTTGTTCGATATGCTTCAAACTCAAAAGATTAACGGGCTCCGCCCACAATCAACATAGGACTGCGACAGATCCGCGGCCATCCCGTTCACACCATGGACCAATCAATGGCTCAGTTGCTGTTGGCTGTGCTGTCAAATAACACCTGGGCAGCGCATCAATCAAAGGCTCCAGTTGAGCCTTCAATTTGGCTGAGTATCCGTTCTCAGTATGGAGCGTCATCGTGGCATTCCACACAACAGACGGAAAGACAGAGCCACTTCGATCCTCCAGGCCCCTGCGTGACACCAGATCGCTGCCACAAAACCCCAATTGAGCCCCTACTCCGGAAACGCCTCGTGGACCGAGCTCTTCGTCTGCCTCCTTCTCGTGCACGAACCCGCCGTCGCACCCGCAGCCGTAGCCAGCTCGCGCCTCGCCCTTCAGCAGGTCATCGCTACATGTTGCTTGCGGAAACACGTCCCCACTCGACGACGCCTCTTTCGTTGCTTCCATATCTAGCGGCTCGCCACGCAGCCACATCAAGTATTGGACCTTCCTCCATCTGCCATACGACGACATTCTATCCGCGAAGAGCTTTGGCCAATGCTTCCGCTTTCGATAGGTAACAATGTTTTCTCTGCAGTCAAGCCTTCTTCCAACGCATGGCACAACCATGATGCCAGCTTTTCGTTTCGAATAGCGGGGGTCCTGGCCGAACACGTCCGCTCTCGGGGAAAGCATGTCACCCCCTGATTCATGCAATTGCAACGCCGCCAGTAGAACACGACTCTGGCAGTCTCTCGTCTTGCCTCAGGGTCGCATTCTGCTAGACTTTTCCCCAACAATAATTCAGATCAGCATTGCAGGCTCCAGTGGGAAAATGAGCGCTGATTCTGCGGGCCGCTAAAGGGGACCTGCAGCATCGACGGAAGAGTCCCGCAGAAACGAATGCTCCAGTGGGCTGGGATCCTTCTTCATCATCCCGGGCCTCCTGGCGTGGCTCTTGCAAGGATGAGAGGAGCAGCTCGTTTTGTTCGACAGGGGGGCCGTTTGTGGATGGATTGCACAACTCGTGGCTTTTCTGACGGGGATCCTTGAACGTCGATGAGCCAGATCAACGCACGTTTCCTGAGCCGCACCTGCTTTGCCCAATACGTTCGAGAAGTGGCTGGCGCAACGCGAGCATGGACCTTACAAAGATCTTGGACCAAATGGACGGGACATCTTAGATTTTGCCTCTCGGAGACTTGATAGGAGCAAGAATGGACTCAGATGTGCTGCAAGAAGACTGCCGTCCGCGCCAGAGCCGCAGTCCAACGGAAGCTACACCAAGATCGAGTACTTCGCCGCCGGAAATTTTGTTGCAGCCTTCAAGGATTGCTTGGGCCCTAGGGCTAGGCTCTCTGCCTTGTAGAAGCAACGGCCAAGGCTTTACCAGAGCCAGCACAACTGGGCAAGTCCTTCAATAAAGATATCAGCCCATATGTCACGAGTTATGGCACGTAGCAATGGGTATACGGAGTATAGTAAAAGTGGCTTAACTATTAAAGTAGAAATAAATAAAAAGAAAAGGTTTATATATACGATATCTAAGATAGACACGTGATTTAGTACGTAATAGGTACTTTGTAAGGTATAATTACTATCTTTATTACGTAATATACCCCCTAATTACTATCGCTAGGGAGCTATTATACCTAAAATAGAATCTCTAAATACCCTTATAAAGGCCTAATTTAGTTAAATATAAATAAAAAAAAAATAAGTATAAGGGATACGTATTTTTTAAACCGCG